AGTATTCCATCTCATTTCCCTTTGGTGTTGCTGTAGGTGATCTGGAAGTCTGGTTTTGAGACTTATTTAAGTGTCTTCTCATTTCAACCCAGGGTTAGGGGGTGTGGTGCCATCGGTGCCCATGCGGATCACCTCCTCTGAGCTGGGAGAGATGGGACAGCGGCTCAGAAGACCCTTCCTCTGGGCCAGGAGCAGCAGGACAGATGGCAGCCCAAAAGCCCTTTCCTCTGGGCTGGGAGTGGCAGGACAGATGGTGGCTGGGAAGACCCTTCCTGTGGGCCGGGCGCTGCAGACTGGATGGTGGCCCAGAAGCTCCTTCCTCTGGGCCAGGAGCAGTGGGATGGTGGTTCAGAAGCCCCTACCTCTGGGCCAGGAGCAGCAGGATGGACAGTGGCCCAGAAGCCTCTTCCTCTGGGCTGGGAGTGGTGGGACAGCAGCTCAAAAGCCCTGTCCTCTGGGCTGGGAGTGGCAGGATGGATCCACCTTGCTTTTTTATAGCCACCTACACTTCTCTCCAGTCCCAATCCCCTTACTAACCCCTGGAACCCACCAACCTGTTTTCTATAATTTCTATAATTTTGCAATTTATAGAATGCTATGCATATATAATTGGTACTGGTCCTCTAAAGAACTAAGACTTGTTATAAAGAACTAAGACTTGCCATGTTATAGCAGCCTTGGCTTCATACATGTTGTGCTTATCATATCTGCTGATTGAATCAAGAGGCCACATAGAATGACCCAAACCACCCAGGTTTATGTAAGCATACTCCATGATTTTTGCACAATGACAGAGTCACCTAACAACACATTTCTCAGATTGTAGTTCTATATGATCAGACTACTGGGCTAAAATAAATTGTTTGGTCTAAGCAAAGGAAACAAAGAATCAGGTATAAATTTGCCAAGTGTTCCTACTCATGGAGGCCAGAAAAAAAAAGAGTCTGTGCTAGAGATGAAGGGAAAACAGGACTATATAGCAGTCTAAGATTTTAATGTAGGAGTCATTAACCCTGGCTAGATTACAGAATCACAAATAAGTCACAGTATCACAACTGATACTGAGGGATATGTCAGCAAAGAAGTTTTATCATATTTAACAAAACAGGAATTTAGTACGTTTCACCAGAAATCATTAAATGAAAACTAAAAAGATTTAGAATAAATATTTAGAATGTTCATTTCATTTCAGTGGGAGTCTTCATGGCTCTATTGGCTCTAGAATAATGAGACAAATCGTATCCAATATTAAGCTCATATTGTAAATCTAATAAATACTGACACATCTGACAAATTAAAACATACTACATTACTGTGTCAAGGTGTAGAAATTACAGAAATATAGAGTGAAACAAACCTAAAGTCCTCATTCACATTCATCACAAAACTTTATGCAGCATAAATTACTATATATATTATGTATATATAGTTCTATTTAGCATTGGATTTAAGTAATATAAGCAATGTGTCCTTCAACTGGAAATTGGTGGATTTGATAAACAGTCACCAGAAGAACATACTACCACAAAATTCTACTCTGTTGGAGTCTCATGAAAATAATCTGAAGTTATAGCTAGAGGAAGAAACACAACTATGAATTATTTTACATTCCTTACATCTTATACTATTTCATAAGAAGTCTGTCTTTCTCTATTTTGCATTGCCTTTGTAAGAGAAGTGAGGAAGCCTACCCTCTCAATGACCCCCAAAAGAATGAATATCTCCTTTTTTCTCATCCTGCATATTTAGGGAAAAGGACTGGCCACATCAAGGGGGGATAAACAATTAGTATACACAGAGGCTGACTACAGACAAGTCTCTTTTCTCCTTTTCCCCCTAAGTTATCAGTTCTACTAGGCCCTTTATTCAATTTAAGAAGAGAGACCATACCAGCAATAAGTAAACACAAGATAGATAGGAAGATAGATAGATAGATAGATAAGCAAGCTGGTGAAGGTAATACTGGTTATCACTTAATAGTGTATAGAAAATAAAATGCCTCACTAAAAAACACTTCTAAATGATTTTCAAAGTGCTAAATCCTTAAATTTTTGACTTATGTGTACCTACATCCTAGAGTATCTCCTCTGACTTTTGCCCAAAAATTTTCCTAAAATGCTTGTATTGTTATATAGTCCATTATAATACACCCATATAATAAACATACATATATACTAAATATCCTGAGGATGAAAAGATGGCTTAAATACTCACTAGCTTTATTTATTTTATTTTATTTTTTTGGTACCAGGGATTGAACTTGGGACCTTACACTTGCGAGGTAGGCCCTGGAACCACTGAGCTAAATCCCTGGCCCTATATTCACTAGTTTTAAGATCCAAGGTAATTGTTGCTGTACAGAATTTAAGAAAAAAAAGGAGGAAGCCAAAAATAATTTAAATGAATCCAAGTTTAATTTAAAGCAGTTACATCTAAAAGAAAGCAATTACAAGCTCACTAATGAAAAGGAAAAATTGGTAATTATAAACACATGCAATTGTAATGATACATTAATTTAAATTTTATGTATAAGATGAAGTTTACATTATCCAAAATGAGGATTAATTCTGAAAATAACACTTCCATGAATATAACATTTAACTAAAATTATTCATTGACTTGCAAAGAAATATCATTAATTTATAAAGAGGGTGGTTTTTCCATTCAATTTATAAAGTCCCAATTCCAACAAAATACACCAAAATAATAAATAAATAGGATTCCATTTAACATTCCATCTTTAAACTCTTCATAATCTTCACTGGAAAATAGACCCAAAAATAGGTTAATCCTAAATAAAAAGTGACAAAGTTGAATCATATTAAAATTAAATATCATGTCAGCAGCTATAGAAAACTGTAACATTCAAAGACTAAAGAGAGCAGTTAGATGCTCCCTGTGCTTACTGCTTTAGCAACTTTTATTTTCTATAGGTAACCATAGTAGTTTCTGATGAACTCAATGTGTAGTTCATATTTTTCCTTCCATTCCAACTTCTGCTAATACCCTTGGTGACTTCAACAGCTCCATTTATAAGAACCATGTCACAGCACTGCATCAAAGGCTTTTAACTCCAGTCCACTGCAGCTATTCACAAATGAGCCTATTACTTAGACAATGTCATCATTTATGTTTTACTCTTAGGTACTAGAACTCTTAAAGGGTTCCTGAATGACATATTTTTATCCTTCTACTTTTTGTACCCCTTTGCTCTCACCCAGCAAGCAAGGTCTTTGTCCTCCTTTGAACTGCCAATTCCTTGATCATCTGTAAACTTCATCTGCCTCCATCTTCAGCCCCTCAACCATCTCTTTTTACACCTGATTAAGGCTCTAGAATATTTGACTCTGAAATCGAAAATTCTTCATACTTGACATTGTCTGACATTCTGCACTCAATCCTCCCCTCTTTCTATCCTCACATTGACATTTTCATCTGCATCTAATGTTGGAACCACAATATAAGTTTTATAAATGATATATTTATCACATCAACCCAAATACAGTTTAAATTGCTTGCTCAGAATTTTCACCTGAGTCTCTCAATACAATAAAATAAAACACAATACCTTCATTAAATGAGTTCTTTCTTCTGACTCCCTTATTTCTTATTTCCTCATTCTCAAAACTCAGTACCCTCTTTCTGAACCCTACTTCTACCCATGTGTCTCCTCTCTGCCCCTTCCATCATACTCATTTAAATACATTTCATTTTTCACTTGGACTACTATATAGTCCCCAGAGTTTTTCATCTACCAGTTTGCCTCCTTTGCAAACCTTTCCATGAATGGGATCAAATTCTTTCTAAAATGCAGGTCTGATAGCTCTGTTTTAAAATGTTTTATACATTGATGGAGAATAACATATTTGTGTAAACTCTTATTATCTTTCCATGGAGTATTTATTAACTGCAAAATAAAAATTTAACTATAAATGGACAACTTCACCAAGAAATCCAAGTTAATCCCACAAATAAGGAATTGATGAAGATTATTACATGGCTTCAGATGTGATGCTTATATAATATTCCAGAAAAATATATCACAGAAATCAAATAAAAGGAAAGTATCAGCATATCCAGAGGGACAGTCTGAAAAACAGGTGGCCTATATTCTTCAAAAAGTCAGTATAATGAAAGCAAAGAAAGGTTAAAGAATTGTTACAGATTAAAGGAGAACAAAAAAAGGCGTGATAACTAAATGCAATACATGATCCTGGACTGGACTTGGTACTTGAAAAATAACTCCTATTAAAGACAGTATTGGACAACAAGGGTGTTAGAATAAAAAGTATTGATTATGTAAAAGTTTTATAGCAATGCTAAATTTCCTGAATTTGATAACTATAGTGTAGTTACATAAAAGATACCATCATTCTTAGGATATATATATCAAAGAGGTGGAGGTAATACAGAGAAAGAAAATGAGAAAGAAAATGTGACAAGATGTTAAAACCTGGAAAATCTGGGTAAAGGGTTAATGGAGTTCTTTGCAGTATTCTTGGAACTTTTCTGTACATTTAGAATTATTTCAAATAAAAGGCCAAGAAAATGTTCCATGTTTCTTTATTGTATCCTGAACAAAGTACAAATCCTTCGCCAGTGTCCAAGTGGGACTCTTTAATATAGTCTCAGCATTCTTTTATATCTTTAATTACTATCTTAATCTTATCAATCTGTATTTCATAAACATTCTGTTAGAATCAAGAAAGTTTGCTCATCTTCATATCTAAATATATTGTGCTCCTCACACTCTCACTTATAAAAGCCTAATTTTCTTTTCCAAGATCTATTTTAACGCTCCTATTACTTTTCAAATTCCAGAAAACTGGACATAATCTCTCCCTAATGGTTTAATGAAGTCAGGTAATTAAGAAACCAGGGGTAGAATTGAAATGATATACTCAGATTAAAATATTTTAAAGAAAATCAGAAGTCAGGAGTAAAACAGACATTAAATCATACACCCAAAAATTCACTGAAGCTATTAAAATTTAGTGAGTTATCTGAGAGAAAATATGTAAAGAAAGAACAGGACCAACAATTACTCCTAGGACAACAAAAGAGACACATTAGAAATACACAGAAAATACAGTTAGAGAGGCAGAATGAGTGCTTACTATGTGCCAAACTCTGGATTAAGGAAGAAACTAGCAATGTTTATATACTAAAAGTTGGAAGGTAGGATATAAAAGGAAAGGGAAAAAAATCTATAAAATTATTATCAAATGGATTCTTACCAGAACATGATAGGAAGATTCATCTTGTATATTTTGAGCCTAGAAAGAACATAAAATGCAAGAAAAATTCAAGTTGGCCTCTAGCACTGATTCCCTTATCAATAAATGTATATTAAGAAATAAAATTATAACAGTTTGCAACATAATCATGTTTTATTAAAATGTTTTGCAATTTAAAACTGTAATGCAAAATAATGAATTTCAAAAAATTTTATAAGTATTTTAAAAATACTTTTTTAATATTTCTGAAAACACACAACATATTATATTAAATTGTTAAATAATCATAAGACTACTTTATGTTTAATAGAAGGCCTCTTGCTGAGGTAGAAAAGACCCCATGAAGTTTAAGCTTAAATAATACCTGAACTAGCATTCTGAATAGTGTCTTTTTTTTTTTTTTTTTTTTTTGCGAATTGCTCTGCCTATTCAAATTCTGTGGAATTTAAGAAAACTCTGACTACTTTCTTTCTTCCTAATGCCCCATATTCTCCTTCTTAATTGGATAAGTAGACTACCACATATCTAAACATTGGTTTATATGTCATTATTGCCAACAATTTATGCTATTATTGATGCAACAGTACCTGAACATTAACATTTCCAGTGTTATATTGTTTATAAAATGGCATTGTTTTATTTCTTATCTTATTAAAATATTTCTCATAAATTAAATACTATAAATTTAATAAATGTTAAATAGAAACTGTCATCAAGAGACAATACTGAGCACCAAGGAGTAGCATGCATATTAGGACATGCATGTGAAGGAAAAAAATAACTATTTTGATTCATCAATTTATGACATTAATAGTTACATTAATTTTATTCAACTTAATATTTTGAGAATCCAGAACTTCCAATTCTTTCAATAAACATAGTAGATTATATTTAATTTACCCTGACAACAATATGAACTCAATATTAATGCAGCATTAGAACATGGTTTAATTCATGAATTGTTTTCCAGACATGAAATAATGACATAAAGGCCATAACACAAGAGCAGATTCTATTAAATGCATTAAATTGTACTACAGCATTCATGAAAAGGAAGTGACTATAAAAAGTTACATATAATGTGTAACTTTATATTGCAGTTTAAATGTTTGTCTTCATATAAATGAGTTTTGTAATCTGAATTAAAAAGTTGGCATTAAACCTCACATTTAGCCAGGTGTGGTAATGCATGCCTGTAATCCCAGCACTTGGGAGGTTTAGGCAGGTGGATCACCGTGAGCTCGAGGCAAGCCTGGGCTACACAGTGAGTTTGAGGACAGCCTGAACTACATAGTGAGACCCTGTCTCAAAAAAAAAATAAAAAAATAAAAAGCTCACATTTAAAAGACAAGTGTGTTCACTTTGCTCTACAAATTCCAGTCACATGCACCTTCTAGACTCTACTCGTATCTATACAGTACCAGAGTCCACTCTATGCTCACTGCTTGAAGATGTTTTGCACTTTACAATGAATAGTGATAATATGGTAGCCTCATTTCTAAAGTTCTGTACATTAAATATGACAATTAGTAAAACTACTAGCATAATGAGAGCCAAGGTTAACTGAACTGTTAATAGAAGCCAGTCTTCTTTAATACAATGAAATCTGTGTTCACTTACTTTCATTAGATGATCTTTGGCATTTAGCCTAAGTCTGTATTTTTCATTTTCTTCAAGCATTCTAGAAATCACTTTGTATACGCTATTCCATACTGAAGCCTTAGAAAGATAAGCACAGTTAAGGGACATGAACCAGAAAAGTAGAAATGCATTTTGATGGATACAATTGGGAGTGACCCAAATGTGCTGCATGTCAATCATTACAAAGCAAATTAGCACACAGAGAACTAAAATTTAAATGTGATTGTTTCCCCATTATCACTGAACTATCTGATCTCTTTTCCAACTTCCTAGAATTTCCTCCCTGTAGTATTTAAATTAATTGTAGTGGATGAAGCTGCTTTCTGTAAGTCTATAAATTTCTACCAAAATGGTTCCAATCCATTCAATTTGCAAAAGTAATAAAAACTGAATTTCTATTCCTGTGTCTAAACTACTGGGCAGTGATTTGATTTTTTAGTGTATTTTATTTTAGTTGAGAATTAAAAATTTCTCCCAGAACATACCAAGGGAAAATTACTATAGATCATGAATAGACTAGAATAGAAAGAATGAAAACTATGAAATCAAACCACCACTTACCAGTTGCTTGACATTGGATAAGTGTTTAAATCACATAGAAGGATATCTTTACACACTGAATTATTGACAGTAATGAAAAATACATATGTATCTGGCACACAACAGTTCAAATAAATACTGGCTTTTGCTCTTTTCTTCTGATACAAAATAAAATGTTTCTTGGAAAAAATATTTCTTAGCATAGTGAAATTAGATGCTCACTCAAAAGCCTCATGTAGTCAAAGGTGGGGCTTCTTGAAGGCGGGTGGATCTAGTGTATGTGATACTGGGATTAAATATGTGATGCTGGGATTAAGGAAGCCCCACTCTGGGTGTGGGTGGCACCAGCCAAAAGGCGGGTAGCCTGCAAGGGATAAAAGGGAGAGGTAGGCTGCTGCTCCTGCTGCTGTCTTTGCTTGCTGTTTGCTACCTTCTGCCTGGCCTGCTTTGCGATGGATTGTTTGCCATGGACTGTTTTTCCTCCCTGATGTCCCTCTGCCATGCTACTCTGCCTTGGAGCCAGCCAACAATAGACCGAAACCTCTACAAACTGTGAGCTTCCTTCTCCTTTAACTTTGGGTATTGGGTATTTTTATTTTGTCTCAACAATGAGAAAAGTAACTAAAACAAAGCATTAGTCATATTTAATGCTATTTTATACTGCACATTGGATTATATATCAAATAAACTCAAAGTTCAGAAACAATACAGTTGTATGCTCCATAATCAACTAATAATTTCTTTAAATGAAAATGACAGTCAAAGATTAGTAGAGCAGCTGATCTTGGGTATGTTTAAAACACTCAGGTTACCATGACATCTGGACAACGAATGTTGAGAACAGTTGAAGAGTAAAGGTTCATCCTTGTCAGCTTTCCTGCTAAAAATTTACTATGTATTCCTAGTCTTTAAAAAGAGCAATGTAGTATCAATACAGATACATTATTGTTATCTGTGAAATCTATGATTTTCTTCTTATACTACATTATTTGTCATAATCTATAAATCATAGACTATGCTTTGAAAAAATCTCCCAGGGGAATGTATCTATATCAAAATGTATTTTCTACCTTCAAATATTAGAAGAGCTGTTCTTTTTGGTTAATAAATATTTCCAACCCCAGTTCCATTTCTGCCAAATTCTATTATCTCATTTCAGAAAATTAAATTATTCAAAAGATGTAACTATTTTCACTTTCTTGAATATCTTTACATATTTTATTTAGAGAGGATTATCTAAAATTCAAATATTGCTCATTCCCCTTTACAATAACATACCTTTTTTCTTTTTCTCATTATTTTGCAAGCTTTAGGCAATTGTATGGGAAAGTCAAATGCTTTAGCTGCATCCTTCTGGGTTAAATCTAATTTTTTTAAAAAGAGTGAAAAGGTAAGATATGAAAATAAGTACATATTTTTAAAAATTCACTATCCTGAGAATAAAGACCATAGAAATGTCTCTTGATCTCTGCTTGGAGATTTTTATACTTGTTGATATATTTCTAATCACTAGGTAATACTACTTTACCATTTAGCTAATTACATGCTGAAAACAATCATGAAAACTATAACTACATAAACTTGTAAAAAGCAAGAAAAGCTTCCATCTAGTTTCAATCTCCTTTCTTTTCTGATAGTGAGGTGAGTCCCAAAAGGGTCAAAAAGAATATACAAATATTAGAAACTACATTTGCCATGTTTTTCTTGAGACTCCATTCTCCTCAATTCAGCTCTACATACATATTATGCTTCCAATAACACAAAACACTTTGTGATTCCTCCAGTATGTCTTATTCTTACCCTTTCTAGGCTTTGCACATGCTTCTCTACCAGGCTAAAACAGTATATATAAAGCACATACACCCCTTACTGACAAATTTATACTTGTTCAACACTCAACTCACATGTCACCTCCTCTCCACAGCTTTCCCTCAAGGATATACAGTCCCACATACAGCACTGTTTCCTATAAGTCCTTATCGTAGTACTTAGCATACTTTAATATCATGTATTTATAATGTGTCTCCTCTACTAGGCTCTGAACTGGAGGCAACAGCCATGTATGTTTTACTCATCTTTTTATCCAGTCACATAGTAGTACAGATAGACCTTTGACTTATGATGAGGTTATGACTCCGTAAACCCATTGTAATTTGAAAACATACTGAGTTAAAAATGCATTATATACATCTACACTGTCAAACATCATAGCTTAGCCCGGTCTCCCTTAAATGCACTCAGCATGCTTAAATTAAATGAACAGTTGGATATCTAACACAGCACGTACTTCCTAATAAAGTGTTGAATATCTCATGTACACACTCAGACAATGTTTTATAGACATGATAGACTGGAACAACATAAAATTTAATAAACACTGGCAATGCTGTACAACATAGAGTGGCTGTCGTTTACCCTTGTGATCATGTGGCCCATCGGAGTTGTAGCTCTCTGCTGATGCCCAATATCATGAGGAGTTCCCTAGTACATATCATCAACACCACCATACTAGTTGAAAAATTGACTAGGTTAGTCATAAATTGGCAGAGGTTTTCCAGAATAAAAAAATTTTCTGGCTCCATTCACTAAGCCATACTGCCTTCCTAAATGTTAAAGCAGTTAGAAGAAAACCTAAGGGCTCTGTGCCCAGAGACAAAATTATAAAACAGTAAGCATATGCTTCCTGAATGCCTTTATATTTGCTTTCCTTTGTCTCTGTATTCATTCTACCTTAACCCTTTCTGTCTTCATTCCTGCCCTTCTTCTACTCTATAATACTTAGCTTTCTTCTACCTATTCAACGGTTAGATTTCCAAGGAGCATTCTGTGATCTCACAAAGCAACATATACTCAATTACCATAGGATTTATAATATTGCTTACCTGAGGAAGGTGTTTATTATTCACTAAAATCTAGTTTCTAATTCTGTTGATATCAGGTACACAATAGACATTTTCTTTTTTAATGAACTATAATGTGCTGTAAATGGCATTTCAAAATTTGTGAGATGCATGCCATTGATTCTGGGTGGAGCCCAGATACAGCACTAAAGAACATTAAGTCACCCAGCATGATTGAACATTCTTGTAATATCACCTAATTGGAAGGCTGAGAAAAAAGAACTGAAAGTTTAAGGCCAGCCTGAACATGATGAGAAATTCATTCCTTTTCCAAATCTTTTTCAATCTTCTGATTATATCAAGGAGGAAGTCTGAGTTTGGTACTAGTATGTCATTTAGATGTCTCTAAGGCTTGTTCATTTCCCTTTATGACCACAGACAACCTGCAGCAGACAACCTATTTAACTAGAATTTAATAACAGTGTTTTGCCTTTATTAGATTTCTTAAATGAATTTCTATTTATGAAAAACAGTACAAGTTTTCCACTGAGGTAATGATGCAACATGTTCTAAAAAGAAATTTAATTGAGAGGGGAAAGTATTTTTTAAATAAATAAATTAAGTAAATAATAGTATAGATGATATGTAGATATGGCATAGAAAAATAACTCAGTTTTGGAAAACTTCTCTTCACATTGCCACATTTATCCTTCCCCTTAAATGCCTACAAACTTCAGAGCACTATAGTTGCATCATTCCCAAATATTTCCTGCTAAGTCTTATCTAAACCATATGTATACTCCTTAAGGCTGAGGTAGAATAATCAGCTCTGTCTTTAATAATTGGAAATATAAAATATGTGATGAAATATAGAGGGTATGCAAAAGGAAAAAGACAATATTTCTTCCCCTTATATTTTGTACTGCTCTGAGACTACCCCCAGTAATATACAATGGACTTTATTAGATTTGACTAATATTTCAAATCTTTCTCTAGTATTATTCCCATTCATTGACCCAAATTGTGTTTCTAGTTCTTCCCTAACCATTGTCCATCACTGATCCATACTCAAAATTTGCTCACATGCTTTTCTCACCTGTCATTTGCTCCTATCTCAACACCATGTGAAAATCTCATGAAGCTTCCACCATCATGAAGCTTTCCTTGATTCTCTCAGCCTCAAATGATTTGCAAATTCTAAGGCATTCATTTGTATAGTGCTCTAATAGTATTTATTATCCTCTATTATTTATAAATTATAAATATATCTGCTAAGCTCTGTAATTACAGGAAGCCAGCCTGATTTATTGGTCCTGTTTGAAAAGTTAGAAGAGTTGCTTAATCTGTCTGCCCTTGGATCTCTAAACTCCAATACATCTTAGAAATGCTTACAAGCTTATCTCCCAGAGTTGCACCAGTAACTGATAACTTTACTCCCCCATTTAAAAATCTTCAATGATTACAAAATGACAAGCAACCAATAATCTGATCCAAAACTTCAATAAATATGTAATACATGCCTACTACATGGCAGATGCTACCTTCTTCCCTTCAAGTTATTTTTGCTTAATGTGCCCACATTTACCAGACATTCAATTCTGTGACAAACACTATGCTAGGCACTCTGCACATATTATTTCATATAACCTTTCTAAATTTGATTATCAAAGCCCATCTCTCTCTAATAACACACCTAGTATTTATATTCCCATAATTCATGTAGAGAAGTCTTTTGAGTGCAGAATATTTGTCTGATACATGGTGTCATTAGCAACTGACCTAGTGGCCAGTGTGATATATGTTAAATAAATTTTGTTCTAGAACTTAACCTAGTGGCCACAGTGTGGTAGATGTTAAATAAATATTGTTGAATGAATAAATAATTCTCCCTTACTCCTTTTAGAGAACCAGGCATAAGTACTTATTATCTAATTAATAAATGAAAAAGAAGTTTAGAGAATTAAACACTGGCTAACTTTGATCAAGAAAAAGGAAGAAAGCACATTGATACAGAAAGAAATGATGAGGGCATAATAAACATTAAGACCCAAAGAAAATTTAAAAAGTAATATAATATTGTTTTACAGACATCTATGCAAACACTTTTGAAAACCTAGGTGAAATGGATAATTGTTTAAGGAAATACAGTTTACCAAAATTTATGCCTTAGAGTTAGAAAGTTTAACCACACCAATTTCCATTGAAGATACAAAGAAAACTGTTAAGAAACTATCCCATGAAAAAAGCAGTAGGTTTTGGTTAGGCTTTTGGTTAGTGATAGGCAGATGGTTTCACGAAAGAATTTTACCAAATCTTCCAAGCCTTAGAAGTTTCAGTGTTCTATAAACTATTCCAGAGCAACAAAAAGGAAGGAAAAAACTAATTTCTTTCACAAAGTAAGTATAAATAACTCTGATATTTAAATCACATAAAGAAATACAAAGAAAGAAAAACTACAGATCACTCTCTTTCCTGAATACCAATGCAAAAATTCTAAACAAATAATTACCAAACAGAGTCCAAGACTGTATTAAGAAAATAATACAACAGAAGCAAGTGAGGCTCATTTTATCTATACAAAGTTGGTTTGATATTTGAAAATTTATTTATATCATATCACACATTAATAAATCTAAGAAAAATATTACCTCCAGAGATTTCAGAAAGCCTTTGACAAAATTCAACATCCACTCTGATTTTTAAAAGACATTGAAGATAGTAAAACTTGAAGGATATTTTTAATAGTTTAAATATAACAGACATGGTGGGACATCCCTGTAATCTAAGTACTCAGGAGCCTGGAGCAGAGGAGTCTAGGCCAGCCTAGACTACATAGTACATGTCTCAGAAAAGAAGTTTATATATGCCTTAACCTTAAAGCCAGTACCTTATTGTATTGAGAAACACTAGAGGCATTTTTTATAACAGACGCAACAAGACAAGGATGCTCACTATCTACTATCTGACCTGTACTTGAGAGTAACCAGTGTAATTAAAAAAAGAAAAACCTATTACAGGCATAAGAGTGTTTTTAAAGGCAATCAAATTGTCTTTATATAAATATATGCCTGGAAAATATATGTACCTGAAAAATCATGGGAATCAATTATAAAACTTGCTCTAATAACAAAAGAATTTAGTAAATTAATAGGATCTAAAATTAACACACAAAAATCAATGGCGTAAGTGAATAAAAGCCAGTCCAAAAGCCTACATTATATATGATTCCATTTATATATCTGAAATGGAAAATCTATGGAGACAAAGTAGATTAGTGCTTGTTTCCGGCTAAGTTGGGGGATAGTAAAGGAAGATAACGGAGAATGGCAAGTGACTGCTAATGAATACAGTTTCTTTTTAGAATAATAAGAATATTTTTAAATTGATTGTAGTGATGGTAAGTATGTAAACTTTTGTGTGGAAAAACTATTGAGTTTTCTATATAAAAACCATAATGACTGAATGGTGCACTTTAAGTGGTTGAATTGTATGCACTGTGAATCACGTCAATAATGCTACTTTTTAAAAGTATCAGTGGAAGTATGGGCCCTTATAAGAAAAACAGAAGTTGAGATAATGGAAATGTTCCACACCTTGACTGTGCTGGATTTGTCAAACCTCCTGAAACATACTTGAACTAATCTCAATAAAGCTGATTTTAGGGCTGGGGTTTTAGCTCAGTGGTTCCGTTGCCTGCTTTTCAAGCGCAAGGTCCCAAGTTTGATCTCCGGTACCAAAAAAAAAAAAAAAAAAAAGGCAAGCAAACAAAAAAACCCAATAAAGTTGATTTTAAAAATCAACATGCTTCATATACATAAAAATTTAGAGGGCATAATGGAGAATACTGCATTTACAACGTCAAAAAAAAAAGTTTGGGAATAAATTTACCAGTAGAAAACCTATAATGAGGAAAAATTTTAAATTTAAAATATTCGTGAAAGACATAAAAGGAAATTGAACAATGAAAAGATATCTTGTCTTTAGATGACTCCACAGCTTCCAGATGTCATTTCTGCCTGTAAATTAATTTGCAATTTCAATGAACTTCTGTAAGAATACCATGAAGAACACCGGGGGCCCCCACCACTCTAGGAGACTGAAGTGACTCATACAATAATCTCTCCTCTCCTGTCTCTGGATTATTTCAACCCGGATCTCTGCATCAGCTTCCTTCTTCGTAGACCACCCCCTAAAGTAAATTAAAAGACTTCTTCTACCCCAACCTAAGGCTGCAACACAGCTAACAGGAGCGCTGACTAGCGACTGACTGGCTAGTTGACAGGAGGGCTGGCTGACTGGCTGGACGATAGGAGAGCTGACTTGACAGCAGGGCTAACTGGCTGCCTGACAGAGGGTTGTCTGACAGGAGAGCTGACTGGCTTGCTGCCTCCAGGACTCAGCTGACTGACTGGGTAGCTGATAGGAGGGATGACTGTTTGACTGAGCAGCTGGCCATCCGACCCCACAAGGTGACCGCCGCAGGCCCAAGGAGCGCAGCGTGGCTGACAGCGAGCTGACCCGACAGCGTCACGCAGGCTACACTGCGCGGGCAAGATGGCGGCCAGCAGCAGCTCCGCCCACCCAGGAGCCGGAGGACCCGACCACTCCACCCGCCGCACCCCGCCACGCCACGCCACCTGCACGCGCCGCCGGCCTCGTCCCGCTCCGAGTGCTCGACGACCGCAGCAGGGACTGGGTGGAGGCTGCAGCCACGGGGCCCTTGGGCCGGGAGCCGGTGTGCAGCTCACCACTACCCAGGACCCCCGGCTTCATCACCTCTTCCCGCGGCTCCTCCTGGCGGTGGCGGGCCCCAAGCCTAGGACAACGATGGCCTGAAGCCTGGCGGCCACCCAGCTCCAGGACACCACCGCACTGATGCGAGCCGAAGCTGGTCACGTAGACGAAGCGCGCCAGGTCCTTCTCCCGACCCCGACCTGCCGGCATCATCCTCTGGTCAGGAGACTGCAGGGCCCTCAGCCCCCACCAGCCCTGGGAATGGGGGCCAGACCACTGGGGGCGGGGGTGCCCTGAGCCGGGGCCGCACCACTGTGCGCGAGTTGGGGGGTGGCAATGGGGCTGGGTTGGAGGCCTGGACAGCTGTACAGGGGAAAGGAGGTACATGGGACTAAGCTGGGGGCCGACTACTGTGGGGCGTGAGATTGAGGGAGGGAGTCAGACCACTGAACGGGTTCGGGGGTGCGGGATGGAGGTTGCGGGACTGAGCTGGGGGGCTGGACTATTGTGCAAGCAGAAGAAGAATGTAGGACAGAGATGGAAGGCCAGACAGTGCACTGAGTGGGCAGGGAGTGGGAGAGGAGAACAAGTTTGAGTCAGGAACCACTATGCGAGCTGAGTGGGCTTAAGACGTTAAGGTGACTATCAGCTTGCAGGTTGTTGGGCAAGACAAGTGGAATTAAGGAAGAAGCACTAGGGAACTAGGAGAAGAGTGGATTTCAGGGAATGGTGACCACTTTGCAAGAGCGCGGGAAACCAAGGGAAGCTGGGGAGAAGAAAAAGCAGAAAGGTATTCAGTTGAAGGGGATGGCAGTCCACTCATCCAGAGAGTGGTGTGAGTTTGGGGGACTGCATCACTTGGGATGAGGAGCAGACCATGAAGGGGTAGGCTCTTCTGAGGAAATGAGCTAAGCCAAGAAGAGGGGGAGAGATCATGGTTGTTGTGCACAGGATTTCACAGTGAGTATCCAGCCCTCGACTTGACCAGTCTGGAGGGTCAGATGATGCTGGGACCCTGAGGAAGAAGCAGAGGCCTTTGGTACCAGAGGGTTCCACTAGGGCCTTGGCCTGGCTGGTGTTGGTGATGGCTCAGTGGTTCAAAAGACACTTCTTAGAGAGAATGTGGGTCTGAGACCAGCATCTGAGGTGGACCTGAGTTCCCACATGGTCATCACTACCCAACTGAGTTATTCCAGCAAGCTCCTTTCCATCTCTGAGCCTCTTATTTCCTCAAATGCAAGAATAAATTAAAATTTTTATTATCTGACACATAGTAAGGGGTAGTTCCCTTTGACTTAACTTTCATTTTTCCATTTATTCAGTACATACCCTGTGAGGTACACATTGTAATTTATAATGGAAACTTTACAGATAGCTTTCCTATTGACCATCCCCTTAAATCCACGTAACATTTATGGCAAAAAACTGGGGTTGCAAAATGTGGAGTGACATCCCCAAGTAACAGTTAGTGATAGAGAAATACACTCTAAATAAGCCTATATTATTAGATTATAAGTATATGTAGAAAATTGCACAAGGATGAACAATATGGATGAGTTTTCACACTCAGTATACCTAAGTAATGTTGAGAAATGGTGCAGTGCAGAAGCACCTCACATCTTATGCCTCTCCTCTTTCCTAATTTCAAGCATCATTACTTAGATTGGCCCAATGTGTTTGATTTCTTTCACTCAAGTTGTGTCTGTGAGATAGTTATTGTTTGAGTTTGTTCATCATTTGAATATAGCACTATTCATCCATTCCACTGGTGATGAACATTTGGTCCTTTCCAGTTTGGAGCCATTATTAATAATGCATAGGAACATACAGATATCTTGTGGGATATATGTTATATAGTATATACCTTGATGTGGAATTTCTTAGGGCAGTGATGGAGAACCTTTTAGAGCTTTCAGTGATATAAACAGCCCACTGTGGCACATAAGCCATAGGTTTGCCACCACTGACTTAGGATATTCCTATGTTCGGCTTTAGTAGCTGCTGGTAAACCAGCATTCAAACTGGTTGTACCAATTTACACTCCCAACAGCAAAGTATAGGAATCACAGTTACTTTACACATTCACCTCTATTTGGCATTATCAATCTTCTTAATTTTAGCTATTTTGATAGCTTGTGTATTAGTGTTCTCTAGTGAAACAGAACCAGTAAGGTGTATATGTGTTTAAGAAAGAAAGAGAGACTGGCTTCTGACTTCAGGATACACAGAGATATCCAGGGAAAAAAACTGATGCTGCACTTCCAATCTGAAGGTCATCTGCTTACAGAATTCTCCCTTCTTTCCATGAGATCAATCTTTTTCTATTAAGGTCTTTAATTGATTAGATGAGCCCTTTCCCATTATGGAGGGTAATATATCCTACTCTGTCCACTGGTTTAAATCTTAGTATCATCTAAAACATACCTTCACAGAAACACATAGAATGATATTTGAACAAATATTGGGGTACTGAAGCCTAGGCATGTGGACCTATAATGTTAACCATCTCAATAATATTGCATTATAATAATTTGCATTTCCTTTATGACCAGTGAAGTTGCACTCTTTGGACATTTGAATGTTTTTTGTGTTCAAATCTCCTATTAGCTCTCTTGTCCCTTGGGGCCCGCGCTTCAGCAGGGTCTGCGGAGGCAGTGTGCTTGGCACGTGGGGCCAGTGGACAGGCCTCCCCCGCCTCGCCACCGCTCTGTATATGGGGCGTCCGGGCATGGAGCGCCGGGCAGCGATGGAGCCAGAGGAGCTGCACCTAATGGACGCACTCGCCTACCTGATGATGCTCGCGGGCTGCGTGTGCTTCGCGCTGCTCCTGCACCGCGCGTCGCCCTATGGGGGCTACGAGTCGCAGTGGCCAGGCCCGCGGGTGCCCACGCGTGTTGCCTGGGCCCTGCAGGAGCTGCCGGCGCTGGCCTGGCCGCTGCTCAAATGCATCTGCGCGTCCCCCCAGCGCCTTGACCGCCTGCCCAACCGCGTACGGCTGGTCATGTACCTCATCCACTATGTGCACAGGTCCCTGATCTTCCCCTTTCTGATCCGAGGAGGAAAACCGACGCCTCTCTTTACCTGTGTGTTAGCCTTCCTGTTCTGTATCTATAACGGCTACTTGCAGAGCAGGTACCTGAGCTGGTATTCGGTGTAAGCTGAGGACTGGGTGACCCAGCCCTGCTTGCTAGCTGATTTTGCCTTGTGGTTAACGGGCATCCTGATAAACATCCACTCAGATCACATCTTGAGGAACCTCCAAAAACCGGAGGAGACAGGATACAAAATACCAAGGGGAGGCTTGTTCGAATGCATAACTGCAGCCAACTACCTTGGGGAAATTGTGGAGTGGTGAGGCTTTGCACTGGCCAGCTGCTCTCTGCAGAGTGGGGCTTTTGCTCTGTTCACGTTTACCATTTTATTCCCCAGAGGAAAACACCATCACTGGTGATACCTTGAGAAGTTTGAAGATTATCCAAAGTCTCGGAAAATTATAATTCCATTTTTGTATTAAGTGTGTCATCATCAAGGAAATGATCTTCAATTGGAAGTTTCAGTGTTCTTTCTCTGGGTGTCAGGCCTGACTTAAGTGAGTCCTTCACAAGCACAGGGGACAAAGCAACAGGCTGCTCTTGGCAAACAACAGCAGCTTCTCAGTAAATAGGCCAGATGGACTCAAAGTAAAACATACAGCCCCCCTGTCACCAAGGAGTCCAGTAATTGTGTGCACACCTGAGCAGCCCGTCCTTGGGCATCCAAGTCATAAATATTTCACCCAGATTCCATAGCCCCTTCAAGACCTACATAAGCCTAATTCCTTTCCCAGTTAGCTGCTGATATCTCTCTCCCCTGGTATTGGCCCATCTCCCAGCTAGCTGCCACTGTCTCTCTCTCTCCCATCATCTGCCCATCCACATGGATGTGATAAACTCTGTTTTTCCCAGCTACTTGCTAGAATCTCCTGATTTTTAGTCTCTGTTTACTGAAATAAACTTTCCTTTCACAAGCCTGAAAAGAAAAAAAAAAGATCTCTTGTCCCTTGAGGCTCTCATATTGTTCTCACTCATTAAGAAGATCTCTTTATATATTTGTTATATATATTGGAAATTTTTTTTTAATTATGGCTCACCTTTTTATCCTCTCCATGGACATTTGGTAAATAAAAGTTTGTAATTTTAATATATCCCAATATATCAACCTTTTTCCTTTAGAACTGTACTTTTTGTATTTGGTTTGATAAATCATTGTCTATTGCAGGAAATACTCTTTTATCTTCTGGAAGTGTTATTGCTTTATTTTCACATTTGAATCTCCAGTCTACCTGAAACTGATTTTTATGAATAATATGATGTAGAGGGGCCAATATTAATTAATTTTTTCATAGAAATATTCTATTACTCTGGGTAAGACATTAATATAATATTAAATACAAGTGCTAATAGTAAACATTCTTCTCTCCTGAACTGAAAGTTTCAGTATTATACTGTTAAGTATGTTTGCCATAGGTTTGATTTTTGTCATATGCTTTATCACATGAAGTTCCCTTCTAGTCATACTTTGCCAAGAATTTTTAACACTGAACAGGTAAGTTTTGTCCAATGCTTTTGCTGTATCTGTCAGATGATTACATGTTTTTACTTTTTTTCTATAAATATGAATTATACTGATTTTTATTTTTAAGCCAACTATTCTGATGAGTTGGAAAAAAAAACATAATGTCTGGTTTTACCTGTTTTCTCATGACAATCAACACAGAAGATGTCTATGATCTAAAAAGATGTGGAAATTTCTCCCCACCAGCAAGCAAGCAATTCTGTAGCAGACACCAATTGGTGTCTCATCCATTTAAGTTCTGACACTGCTTACCCGGAGATAGTGTCAGATCTCACAGGTTGAAGGCCTAGTTTCAAAGTCTGGGGCCAGGGATTTAGCTCAGTGGTTTCGCCACCTGCTGTGCAAGTGCAAGGACCCGAGTTCAATCCCCAGTACCAAAAAAAAAAGTCTGCCCCCAACAGACAGATGGATGGACACGCATGTGTGCTCAGGCATGCACACCCCCACACACTTTTGATGCCAGTCACACACACCTGTGCTTCTGACTGACCAGCTAAAAGCCAGGGTTCTCACGCTTCCTCCTTGAGTTTATTTTTGTTTTGTTTTTTTTTGGTACCGGGGATCGAACTCGGGTCGTTGAGCTTGCGAGGCAGGCGGCAGAACCACCTGAGCTAAATCCCCGGCCCTCCTCCTTGAGTTTAATTTAGCAGAGCAGCTCATAGAACTCATAGAATATTCACTGATTTATTGCAAAAGATATTACAAAAATTAGAGATAAACAAGGTGAGATATGTGAGAGGGCTGCAAAACTTGAATGCCCTCTCCAGAAGCACAACCCTTTGGAAATCTCAAAATGCTGCTGCTTTGGGCTTTCAGGGAGACGTACTTGCATAGGTGTGATTATGGCATGGACTGTATGGAAATTTGATTGATAGGAAAGGCCTAATCAAAGGCTAATAGCCTGGGAAGGGACACTTAGCAAGGCCTTAGTTCTCCACCTCACTACAACCTCCTTTCTCCAGGGTATGGGGCAGGGCCCCTGTGGAATGAG